ATCTAATATTTATGTAACTAAAATATATATATATAGATATATATATATATATATATATATATATGAATAATGAATATCTACAAAAATATAGATGTATAATATTTATATATATATATACAATTACGAGGAAAACCCAAATCATTTCAGAAGGTTTTCCAAGGTTAATTTAAAATTTGCACTCAGAAAATACAGTGTTCTTGAGTCCATCATATATATATTTATATATAATTCACGTGGATTTAACAGATCGGTCCCTTTCTCAGCAAGCCGTTACTTTAGATCATAATTTGACCTATTAAACATGTACTTTTTTTCTTTGCTCTGCTATATATTTTTTTGGGGCTTGTAATCTCGTAGATACTCCTATATTAAATGAGACGCTTCTGTCTGTATATTAATACCATTCCTAGTTTTCTTGTTTCTTTGACTCTCTGTATTTAAAAGGACTGTAAGTGTAATATCAGGTGACCCTCCATGCAAAGAAGGAAATGGCAGATTTACAATTTACAATTGTACCATGTTCAGGTACAAGTTTGTGGACAGTGAATGGAAGGTGGTGGGGGAGGCAGAACAACAGTTTAGTTCCAGGTAAAAAAAGTCTCTGTATATTAATTACATTTTTTTAATCAAATCAAAGAAACTTAATGCTTGCATCTATTTCTAAATTTCTAATGATGTTATATTCAAAATCTGTTGTTGGTCTAAACCTGTAATATTTCAAACTTTGACGATTAGATTTCACAAAATTCTGATTTTATGAACATCCCGAGAGTTCTGAGAGGTCTTCTATATTATGTACACAATTTACAGAGTTTATATACATCCCGAGAGTTCTGAGAGGTCTTCTATATAATGTACACAATTTACAGAGTTTATATACATCCCGAGAGTCCAGCGAAAGGTCACCAATGGTCTTCAGGAGACATCGTCTTCAATCGAGTCAAGATTACAAACAGTTTATTGGAACAAACAGGACATGTAAGTTGGACTTAATGATTTATTTTTTTCTAAATCCATATGTTTTTTCATGTCTTGTCTGCTTGTATTCAAAAACGCTATAAAACGACCCGATTAGGTCTAGGAAAGGTTTATGCCCAGTCGAAACTTATAAATTTTAAAGTCAAAAATATTTTGTAAAGATTTATTAAAAATCCATTTATTAAAAACATAAAAGTTCCTGAAATCTTATAATGTTATTTTCTTGTGTATGGTTGCGAATACTGGAAACATTTATAAGTAAACATTATGAGTGAACACCTTAGAAGCCCAGTTAACAAATATTTGTATCTATTTTACAAATTGAAAAAATTAATTTTAGATTGTTGTTTCCTCAATGCATAAATATTTCGTGCGCATTCACATTGTGCGCGCTAGAGAACCAACAGAGCTTTATTGCGCGCGTTATCATTCATTTTCATTTAAGGTAGGTTAAAGTATTATTATTTTTATTAATATCATCATTATTATTATTTTGATATTTTCATTAATATTATTATTACTATACTTTAAGGAGACGATATTTGTTGGAGTGACAGCATACCAGAATTCTAAACTTACCGAGCTTAAAATACAAACAAACCCTTTCGCCAAGGGGTTCAGGGATCCAGGAGAAGGGGTTGTGAAGGGGGCAGGGGTTCCTGAGAACCCCCTGCAGAGCGAAGGGGAGGAATCCACCCTTAATTCTCTGGTTACAGAAAACCTTTCTGAGCAAGGGTATGCATTTAATTTGTTCAAAATAATTTAAATAATTGAATTTTTATTAATTTTTGGTTTTCAGGGTTTTTATCTATTCTTCATTTAGGATTAAAAGGAATATCTGTGTATCGCCGAATAATGACCAGAAAAAATTAAAGATGAGATCCGAGAAATCAGAAAATTAAGATGGAAGACAAATAAAAGATAAAATAGGAACAAAAGTAAAGATGAGAAAAAAAGGAAAAAGGAAGAGATGAAGAAGAATAAGAATAAAGATGAAAGAACAGAGTCCAAATTTAATGAACTTAAATCCCCCAAAAACCGGTTTAAATTAAGCGCCGGCTTAAATCTTGAAACATTGAATATGATTTAAAAGTGGAACCAACCATATTTGAGCCCTGGCTTAAATTTAAGCCGTGGCTTAAATTCTTTAAATTCGGACTCTGAAAACATTTATGGAAAGGAGACAAGAAAAGGCAAAAAGTACCTCAAAGTTTTTAGAATGTTGAAATATTATTGTTTTTTTTTTTCTAGAACATGATATTTAAATCTACTGGTAAAATTACTTAATTTACAACACAATAAATATAGATAATTTTTCTTTAATATCGTCTTCTTATTCCACAATTTTAAGTAGGAACTTATATAATATCATAGTTTTTGTCGATTTTCATGTTTAATAGAACACCCTGTAGTTTATAGTGCGTTAAAATTGTCATTTTTATTGGTACAACCTGTAGATTCCGGACCACCCTGATCATACCTTGTTTTATTATGATCAGCTCTCTAGGTATACATCGTGAATTCAAGGTGTGTAATCATATAACTAGGTGTGTAATCATCTGACTAGGTGTGTAATCATATAACTAGGTGTGTAATCATCTGACTAGGTGTGTAATCATTTCAGAATTTAGAATCATTAAATAATCAAAGCTTGGAGAATTTAACAAGTCAATCCTGTGTTTAGGGCATTCCTGAACACATCCGAAAGATGGGGATCAGGGGCGTACTCAGGAATTTGTCCGGGGGGTGGGGGAGCTTAGCAATCGTTAGGGCCCAATTTATGTTTATATGGATTTATATATTTGGGTTTTAAAACATGCTTAAAAGAACTCTAAGTGTAATTTTAAGTTCAAGGTACCCTTCATGCAAAGATGGCAATGCCCGATTCACAGCCGTACCCTTAAAAGCTTTGTCTGGTCAAGCAAGAACTAGATTATATGAATGTTTATAATTTGGAAAACTGATTTATTTTCAATGGCGGTTTCTCTTCAAAAGGGAGTTACGCATTTTTGTTGCAGAAAGACAAATCCGAATTATCTGAATTAAATACTTTAGAAACTAGAAAATATGCAGTATCTTTCACATTATTTATCAGATTAAGGTTTTAAGGGAAACGTTGTAAATCGGACCTGTCATCTGTATATGGCAGGTCCGATGAAATAACGCGTACAATCACTTCATTGTAATTTTATCTTTTAAACAATGCTTTACAGACCACAAATTTTATTAAGTAAAACCACAAATTTGAAACTTTTGATAATTTTGTTATTTGGGTCATGCGAGGTCCTACAAAAAACTGTTTCCGCCGTTTTAACTTTTTTTGGAGACAATAAAATAAGCCACATATATTCATCTAATTTTTACTTAAAGAAAATGAACAGCATTCGCAAAAAAAACTGTAAACATTCTAAATCTTTATATTTTCCAAATTATGATCACGTGAATTTCCTGAAAAGGGGCTGCCTGGTTTATTTGGTGTACCGTCCCGTTTTGCCTGGTATAATCTGTATGTGTACCGTACAGCGGGTTAGATGTCGGCCCGGTTCTTGAAATGAACCGGACTTTACCAGGGGGGATGATAGTTTCCTACCTGTGTGCTCAGTTAGCTGTACTGTACACTTACAACTGTTTACTAATAATGATATACTATAGGTTAGGCCAGAATCAACTTATAATAAACAAATTTGCAGTACGCTCTCGGTAAAGTTCATGGCCTATACAATTAGTAAAGGATTAGCGTACATCATTACTCGATACACTATAACCTCGTTGGACTTAACAGAGTAAAAATTAAAAGATAATTAGAAATACTTCTTAAGACTTATAATTGGAAATTGTTACACCTCTGAAAATATGTCATAAGTTCATATTTAATACATTAATTAAACCAGTTATATCATTTCTTTATTAGATACATTATCAATTTTATACAGTAACATATTTTTATTTATGTTTATGCTATTTCAAATATTGTCTTTTAATAAAACACACAAATTTTCAGAAAAGATATTTGAAAAAAATTTCAAAATTCAAATTAAGTTTTTATTATAATGAACCGTGATAATTTTCTCCAGTTTCAACAGTTCTCAGTTTCTTGTTTTATAATTCCGTTCATTTGCAGGATAAACGGAATAACAGTTTCTATTCTCACACTTTCCGCCATACCGGAGAAAAATATCTCGTCCATACTCCAGGATTTGAACCCGTTAAGGAGAGACAACTGGAGTAGAAGACGACCTCCATCCATCCAACATCTAGAAGGTGTAGTTTCTGATTTAAAAGCTAGAACTGGGAGATTTTCTATTTTTCTTGGTTCCTTCATTGCAGATATTTCTTCGACAGCTTCTATTTTGTTCGAAAATTCTTCGTCAACAGCTTTTCTTGTTTGGTTTGTTTCAGTTTCTATTGTGGTTTGGTTTGAGTTGGATAAAGATGTTTGGTTTGGTGTTTTAGCTAAGGTTGTTTGGTTTGATTTTGTTTCGAATGCTTGTTTTGCTTCAACGTCAACGATTGTTTGACTTGATCTTGATACAGCTGTTTGCTTTGTCTCAGTACGTATAATTGTTTGGTTTTCTGTTGTTTGGCTGGCTGTTGTTTGGTTTTCTGTTGTTTGGTTTGTGTAATAAGTTTGAAGACTGGAGAGTAAAGAGTTTCTAATTTGTTGGAAATGTTTTGAAACATCTCTGCTCAGCTCAAAATCTGAAATAAGGATAATAATAATACTGAAAAGTAATAATATTATTAAAATTTGTTATTACAGTTAAACAGACAATAATCATGACAAAAAGAATGAAAAAAATTTCTTAAGATTTTAAAAATCATCTTAGGAAGTGCACACTCGCAACAAACTAGAATTTTCTTTTATCAGGTGAAAACCTGATATTATTTTTTCAAAACATGGGTGTCAAAAGATGCTTTTTGAACTTTTCAGGGTATTTTTTACGATTTTAATGTTTCTGACATTTTGATACTAATTTTTTTCGAAAGTTATATTACTGATTTTATTTACACAAAAAGCTAAAATCTGAATGAGTTTAAAAATTTTGATTATTCTCAATTTTTTTTTATTTTTAACCTTTAAAAAAAAATCTAATAGTTTTGATGACTTTTATGTTTCGTGTTTTCCAATTTAATTTATTAATGGATTGCGTTGTAAAGCTGGCAGGAATAAAAATAAAAGTTTAAAGTTTTATTGAAAAAAGATCTGTGACAGAATTTAAAGAATTTAAGCTCTGGGTCGCTAATCTGCCTTCCACTGGTTCAAACCACACCGATTACAACAATTTTCGTGAGGATTTGAATAGGTCATTGAGGATTTCTAATGTAATATTTCTAAACATGAAGATCATTTTCTTCAAGGGACTATAAGTGTAAATTCATATGACCACCCATTTAAAGAGGAGAATCCCCGATTCACAACTGAACCCTTTAAACCTTTGATTGATCAAGGATTCACAACTGTACCCTTTAAACCTTTGATTGATCAAGGATTCACAACGGTACCCTTTAAACCTTTGATTGATCAAGGATTCACAACTGTACCCTTTAAACCTTAGACTGATCAAAGATTCACAACAGTACCCTTTAAACCTTTGTCTCATCAAGGATTCACAACGGTACCCTTTAAACCTTTGACTGATCAAGGATTCACAACGATACCCTTTAAACCTTTGATTGATTAAGGATTCACAACGGTACCCTTTAAACCTTTGACTGATCGGATGTCGGACATATCAGTATTGATTTTCTGAAACGCTTTAAACTGCTAAAAACTTTTTTCATTGTAAAATATTGTAAAAAATAAACCTGGATTGAAAATAATAAAAATCTTGAGAAAAGCATATTCTGTGTGAGTCAAGTGTAGCTCGGAGATCTCTTTACTCCGCCGAAATATATTCCTAAAAAAATCAGTTTTTGTCACTAACTTGAATTTTCTAATCCCTATATCTTTGCAACCTGATGGCGTAAAGAACTGTATATTTCAAATTTAGATTATTTGATCAGAATTCCTATTTTGAAATATTAAAATTCTACGAAATTAGGTTACAATACATGCATAAGGATTTGAAAATTAGAGGCATGACTATTTATTAACATGTTCCTTAACTTTTTGATAACAATTTTTGGCCGAGTCCAATTTTACTAATACTAGGCTTTCAGGGCGCTTTGCGCTCATCTTCTAGTTCAATTGTAAAAATTTTCTCTTTGTATACATTGTAAAACAGTAAAAAGATTTTATTAAAAATTTATTGGATTTTCAAAATTTAATGGAAATCAAATTTTCTCAAAGGGTAATTATTTGAATTTTATTCATCCATAAACCTTCCCTGGTGACATTGCAAGAACCCATACAAAATTTGGGCCCGATCGGTTCAGCCGTTTTGACGTTTATTGGATACAAACAAACGAACACCCACCCAGACAATTAAGCAAAGTATAAACATAGATTAAACAATTTTAGCATGTTTGATTTTTTTATTTAAACTTTTTACTTTTCGAATTTACAGATACAAAGTTTTCTCACAATAATTGTTGTTAAGATTCCATATAAATTCGGTTCAAGCAATTGTGATTTCAAATAGATTTTTAAACCCGGCCTCACTATGAAGTCAAACCTTATAGAAATCCAACGTATAGAAACTGCTACGTATGGCGTATTTTCCGGGAGAACATTTTTTATATTTTTGAGAAATTAAACGTTTTTGTAAAACATTATAGTTTATCATTGTTATTATCATAATTTCTATTTTTTTAACATACCCTAGACATTAAAGGAGCAAAATAGTTTGTGTTTAAAGTCCCCCAGATTTTATTATGTACTGACAACATAAATGAATGATTATATGGTTATACATAAAATTGCGTGTTACTATTAAAAAAACTATTTTATTTTTAGAAAAAAAATTCTTAAAAGTATAAAAAAAGTTCTCCAGTAATGCTAATATGATTTCATAAAATTCCGTTTTACCATTTAAAAAAAGGATTTATGAAAATTATATCTACTTTACACTGATTATTTAATTTCTCAAAAATATAAAAAATGTTCTCCCGGAAAATAAGCTATACGTAGCGGTTTCTATACGTTAGATTTCTATAAGGTTTGACTTCCTCACTATAAATAAAAAAAATATTCAATGCATTAAATAAAAATAAATCTGGCATGGATCAGCTTTTTAAAATGATTTACCTTGTATCTTGAATGAGGTTCGTTAGAGTGCTCAGGTTAGCACTTTCATCTTTTAAACGGGTCTACGGTAAAACAATATTAAATGGCTGCGAGGATAAGAAAGAAAAGTATGTAAAGTAAACGTTTATGTTTTGGTAGGTTTAGAAGCAGACAAATTTATTCATAATGTTTGATAAGTATTGGAAACAAAATAAAGAAACTACAGTGATAACTATAAAACTGTAGAATAGGAAGACGACATTAACGCAATACGTATTAATTAAAATTGGCCTGTTGCTGTGACTCATGTTCATTGGATTATCTAAAGTCATAATTTAAGTCTAAAAGTCGACTTCCTATTACAGAGTTTTCTGCAGTTATCACTGTAAAACAATGACTTCAAAACATATAAAAATTAATCTGATGAGACCTGTAAACTATCTGTGACGGCAAGCATAAGATTTTCCAATCCGATTTCCCTAGAGTAGAGAAAAATCATGAAACTGCAGAAAATAAGTCCCAGGAATTTTCTTTTTGGGATTTAAACCAATCAGGAATTTTTACTTCAAATTCTTAGTTTCCTTGTCGACTTTCATGCAGAGGTTCAAATAATACAACTTAAAAAATCAAATCTGCCTGATTGCATGTATTACATAATTCATAATTACATGTTCATGCACATTCATAATGACATGTACAATGTACATGTCCATTCATAATTACATGTACAGTACATGCCCATTCATAAATACATATATACATGCCGATTCATAATTACATGTACATGCCGATCTTCCTTATAATTCCGTGAAAGTTACCTGGCTGATTGAGCAAGGCCTAGTACAAACAGCTGAGTCCACGAGTTCCGTAGGATTAAAACTTGTATGTCAGACCTGTACAATAAAACATGAATTAATTATGAACAAAATTAATGTTTTAAACATTTTGAATTCATAATATTTTGTAAATACTTTATTAATATTATTATGTACAACATGTTGTTCATTAATTATGTACAAAATAATCTTAATTAAAAATGTTTAAAACATTATTAACTAAGTATGTAGAAAACATTACTAATGAGGTATGAAAAAACATTATTATTTAAGTATACAAAATATTATCAATTAAGAATGTTTAAAACATTACTAATTAAGCATAGAGAATAGAATATATATTAGAGGGGAATTTAAAGAATCTCTCGGTATGAATTTTTTCAGTCCCTTTCAGCCTGAAAGGGAGTTCAAAGTGTACAAATCATGTAAATGTTCACAAATTATATGCAGTAGAGTACATTAATACAGTTTGTTCCCTAGACTATTCATTTCAATTTCGAATTTTTTAAAGCTGTTAAATAAACTTTATAATGAATTAAAAGTGAATAAAAAACATCATTTGATTTATAGTTATAACGGAAAATCATCGTTTGTAAAGTGAAAGGCATAGAGTCTATGTGAAATGATCATTGGTCAATTATGAAACCAGCCTATTTCATAATTTGGTTTTGCTTTTAACATTAATTTTAGATTTTCTATAAAATGATGTTTCAGGGCCCAAAAGGTTATTTAGCATAAATATGTGAAGTACACCTGCAGTATGGAAACAGTACAACAAAATGGCCGTTTTACACTTTTTTCTAGTAAATTCCCATCTAATATATATTCTATTCTCTTTGTTATTAAGCTTATACAACAAATTGCTAATTTTGGAAGTTTTTACAACTTACAGTATTAAATTTGAATACTTGTATAAATCTTTAGCTCTGAAAGTTTATTATATAAAAAAGTTCAATTTAAAATCAATCTGTAAAAAATATATCATTCTTGGTCTAACCTGAACAAATATAAGGTTTGACACTTGATCAATTAGATTTTATCTGTATATAGCCCGAATCCATACCATCCCATAACGTTCAATGGTTACAACTTAATTCTTGTTATTTACAAATTCAAGCCTCCTTAGTATAAAATGTAAAAAAGCTTACTCTAATTTTGCGAATGCTTCAATGTTCTTAACCCAGTTTATCGTTAGGAACAGAAGTCTAAAATATTTTAAAATTATTATTTTTAGAATTTATTCAGATTATTAAAAAAAAACATTTGTGTTTTTATATTGTTTGTTGATTTTGTTACTTTTAGTAGAATTCGGGAAACATGTTACCCTCCATTTATAGATTTACTATGGTAATGTAATAATTTAATCTATGAACTTTCGTTTGTGGAAAATGATAAATAAAGCTAAGGATTCTCTGCATATTAGGAATTAAGGATTTAAGTTGTAGCAAGATAATAAGGGAAATTTTTGGAATTCAACACTTTTAAATGCAAACCAAACATTTCCTCGTTTTTGTTTAGGCAATTGGGTTAAAAGATACCGTTGCGCATCGGACATGCCACTCTATAAATGCAGGGTCATTTGAAATTACGTCTACAGATCCTCTAGCTCTAAGCTTATATTGTTTACATTTTTATTTAATTGATTACAGACTATACAGTGACTCAAGTTAGTACTTGAAATAGTCCAATGTACAGGGTGTCCCAATAAACATGGGAATTCAGTGACGAATTCGATATCGTCTTTTAAAATCAATCTTTGATTTAGTTTAGTGATACCTACTGAGAAAGCTGTAATCTGTAAGAGTTTCGTCTGCTATGTTCACATTTTGTTTGTTTATGTTTTGACTGCATACTGTTGTACTTAGTAAAACAAGAAAATTGCAGTATACAAACAGAGTAAACTTGTCCGTCTTCGGTGTTCATCTTGCGGAGACATTATAGACACATCTTTACAGTTTTTTACCCTTTTCATAAAATAAACTCTATAGCAGACATAATACTGTTATGGCTTTTGAAATTAGGTATTACAATGCTAATTCATAACAAAGACGATATCCAATTCGTCACTGAATTCCCATGTTTTTTGGGACATCCTGTACGTAAGAGCACAGCATTTGTGTAGTGTGCAGAGACCATTTCACTTTATAATTGATTTATTAGCTACTTGTGTAACTATTTGCTTTGTAACAACATCAAATACACTCAGGAGCGGATACAGGGGGGGGGGGGCGGGAGGACCTTCGCACCCCCCTGACAGATTCAGAGATTTAAGAATAGCTTCTCAATAGCACTTAAGGGAAAGAAAACGAAGTGCAAAACAAAATTTCGATCAAGGCGCTTCTTTTTTCGAAATCTGGATTATTTTTTCCGAAATAAATCTAGCATCCCTTTATCTTAAATCAAGTATCCGCCCCTGAATACACTTTACTTCATATATTGCTTTAATGTCGTATTCCTTTTCCACAGTTATTTGGTTCTCAATGTCGGTTGTTTTGTTGTGTTGTATACCTGGAGGCAGTTTCACAGATAAAATGGACTCCACTATTCATTAATGTACTGCTAATGGAGAGGGATGGAGGTATGAGAACAAACCTAAATTTTGAAGTCAAACCTTATAGAAATCCAACGTATAGAAACTGCTACGTATAGCAACATGGCGTATTTTCCGGGAGAACATTATTTTTATTTTTGAGAAATTAAACGTTTTTGTAAAACATTGTAGCTTATCATTATCATTATCATAATTTCTATTTTTTTAACATGCCCTAGACATTAAAGAAGCAAAATAGTTTAAGATGTACATTTGTACTGCTCTCTATTGTGTTTAAGGTCCCCCAGATTTTATTATGTACTGACAACAACAATGAATAATTATATGGTTACATAACATTGCATGTTACTATTAAAAAAGACATTTATAAAAATGCTATCTACAGTTTTATTTTTAGAAAAAAAAATTCTTAAAGTATAAAAAAAAGTTCTCCAGTAATGCTAATATGATTTCATAAAATTCCGTTTTTCCATTTAAATAAAAGGATTTTATGAAAATTATATTTACTTTACACTGATTATTTAGTTTCTCAAAAATATAAAAAATGTTCCCCCGGAAAATACGCCTCGTTGCTATACCTAGTGTTTCTATACGTTGGATTTCTATAAGGTTTGGCGCCCTAAATTTTAAACAATCTAAATTCGGTAAAATATAAAGAATTAGGTGGCACGGCGCACACCAAATGCTACCTGGGATCTAGGAAATAAAAAGTCTTTTTGTCAGATTCAAACGCAATTCTATGTCAAATCTCAGATCTCAGAATTGTTGAAATATTACTAAACTAAATTTACAACGAAATAAAGAGTATAATGCAAGAAGCATTTTATTATTTGTATATTTTGTTACACATTCTCCATAAGGAGATTTATATCTGATATATTTTTGTTCAAAAAAAGTTTACTACCTGGGATCTAGGAATACTACCTGGGATCTAGGAATACTACCTGGGATCTATGAATACTACCTGGGATCTAGGAATACTACCTGGGATCTAGGAATACTACCTGGGATCTAGGAATACTACCAGGGATCTAGGAATACTACCTGGGATCTAGGAATACTACCTGGGATCTAGGAATACTACCTGGGATCTAGGAATACTACCTGGGATCTAGGAATACTACCTGGGATCTAGGAATAATACCTGGGATCTAGGAATACTACAAATGGTATCTAGGAATTATATCAGGTATCTAGGAATACTACCTGGGATCTAGGAAAACTACCTGGGATCTAGGAATACTACCTGGGATCTAGGAATACTAACTGAGATCTAGGAATACTACCTGGGATCTAGGAATACTACCTGGGATCTAGGAATACTACCTGTGATCTAGGGATACTACCTGGGATCTAGGATTACTACCTGGGATCTAAGAATACTACCTGGGATCTAGGATTACTACCTAGTATCTAGGAACTCTGCCAGAGATCTAGGAATACTACCTGGAATCTAGGAATACTACATAGTATCTAGGAATACTTCCTGGAATCTAGGAATACTACCTGGTATCTAGGAATACTACCTGGAATCTAGGAATACTACCTGGGATCTAGGAATACTACCTGGAATCTAGGAATACTACCTGGAATCTAGGAACTGAAAAGGCTGAATATTTTCATCATCAATGCTTCCATTTTTCTCCTTTCCTTCTTCTTCTTTCATCTCTGGTCTGAGTAAATATGAATAATTAGGTTAATGGGATTGTTCGCAAGTTATGATGACAGTTTGTTTTAAAATTGTAAAAATTAAGTTTTTTTCCATCAAAAGCAAGAGCTAAGATTTTGCTCTGACCTGAGCCACCCTGAGGACATATCCTTAAGTTGGTTGAGTAGATTGAGCCGGTCAACAGTATCTGTACAGTCCTCCTCCCCACCACCCTCACCCTCACCACCCTCAAAAGATTCATCTACAATCAACAGAGGAAGCTCCTAAACCAGAGTATTTGTTTCAAGAATGTCCTAGTTTGAGAAGTACATTTATGGCTTCTAGATATAAATACATGATAAATAACAGTGTATTAATTAAAGGAGAGGAAGATGAGGTCTTCTCTTGTTCCAGAATCCGGCGCTACTGATTTGCGGATTTTATAATTCTGTTCGGGGATTTCATCCTCTAAATAGTTAAGGATTTTTGGAGACAATTATATTTACTTTACACTGATTATTTAGTTTCTCAAAAATATAAAAAATGTTCCCCCGGAAAATACGCCTCGTTGCTATACCTAGTGTTTCTATACGTTGGATTTCTATAAGGTTTGGCGCCCTAAATTTTAAACAATCTAAATTCGGTTAATAAATGGTTCTGTGGTGTAAGGGATGATTGTGTGGTTCAATGAATGGTTCTGTGGTTCAATGAATGGTTTTTTGGTTCAATAAATGGTTCTGTGGTTCAAAGGATTGTTTTGTGGTGTAAAGGATGGTTGTGTGGTTCATAGAATTCATCAATGTGTTTTTAACCCTTGTAAATGTATAATTATGTGCCTAATAAAATATTTATTTATTTATTTATTTAAATGGTTCTGTAATTCAATGAATGGTTCTGTGGTTCAATGAATGGTTCTGTGATTCAAAGGATGGTTCTATGGTGCAATGAATGGTTTCATGGTTCATTGAATGTTTGTGTTGTTCGATGAATAGTTGTGTGGTTTAATGAATGATTCTGTGGTTCAATGAATTTATTTTGGTTCAATGAATGGTTCTGTGGTTCAAGGAATGGTTCTGTAGTGCAATGAATGGTTCTGTGATTCAATGAATGGTTCTGTAGTTCAAAGGATGGTTCTGTGGTTCAATGAATGGTTCTGTAGTTCAATGAATGGTTCTGTGGTTTAATGAATGGTTCTGTAGTTCAATGAATGGTTCTGTGGTTCAATGGATGGTTCTGTAGTTCACTGAATGGTTATGCTGCAGTAAATGCCCTACTCCAACAAATACTTTTATATCGGTACCAATCCAGGTGTAACCTTCCGTATCCTAAGGTATCTGTTTTACAAGATACAACTCAATCTGGAACTCCTGTTTACTCAATAATATTTTAGTCAATATCAAACCAGATACAACTCTATCTCTATTCTCTTTCTTACAAGATACAACTCAATCTCGAACTTGCTTGTCTGATCAATAAATACTTAATCTCGTTCAATCCAGATAAGAAGCATGTTGTATTAATTAGTTTGTATCGCTCAGATACAACTATCTCTCTATAATACTCAATCTCTATCAATCCAGATAAGAAGCATGTTGTATTAATTAGTTTGTATCGCTCAGATACAACTAGGTCTCTATAATACTCAATCTCTATCAATCCAGATAAGACTCATGTTGTATTAATTAGTTGTATCGCTCAGATACAACTAGTTTCCTGTAATACTTAATCTCTATCAATCCGGATAAGACGCTGTGTAATTTTTAGTATTTATCGCTCAGATACAACTAGTTCCCTGTAATCTTTTGTATCTGTCTTACAAGATACAACTTAAATTCGTCTTGTTCACTACATGTGGATATTTTACCCTAACACTGTAAACAAACAGAGTATTATTCCAACTAACTATATTTTGAGTTCTATGGTACAGGTTAAGTTAATGAACATAAGCACACGTTTTCTGTAGGTATTTACAAGCGTAGTAAGGATAATCGCAATACAGGTTTTTATGTAGTTATTCACTAGTATAGTTAGGTTTACAGACAATGTACAATGTAATATATCTTTGTGTGTTCAGGTTTATAAATATGGGTTTCACAATGATATTTATTACAGTATGGTTCAATGAATGGTTGTGTGGTTCAATTAATGGTTCTGTGGTTCAATGAATGGTTCTGTGGTTCAATAAATGTATAGAAGAATTGGTATATTTGAAACTGCTTCTGAGAGGGTAAATGGTCAGTAAATCTATTGACAGAATCAAGATCTCCTTTCATTGCTTTTAGTGGGTGTCTCAAAAAAACATTTTATATTGCAAAAATAAATAAAAAGAATCAAGCTTCTCGTTTAATGGTTGTTGATACTTTTTTTAAGGATTAGTATATTGGACAAATATTTAAGAAACAAAGAAGTTCTTATTAGAAAATGATTTTACTGAGGCAAATTCTAATCATCTGAGAATGTAGTTTCATGATATAGAACAAACCATGCGCCGTGTGCTTAGGTTAGGACAGGACATGTGGGTTCCAGCACTGTGGCTAGGGGGCTCAGTTGGTGCATAAGCTGATCCAAAAAAGATGATTAAATTTGATCTGACCACATCATTTACTTCTCAAACCTCATCAAAATGAATGTTAAAACTAGATAAAATTTAATATTTCTTTTAGAATGCTTATATCTTTTGCTTGACGCTTTTTACATAATAAAATGTGCTCAAACCTGAATTTTATCTTTTTTGTAAAATAAATGATTAAAACACTTGCTTTTGCATCTTTTCTGTATTCTAATGATTTCTGTAGTAAACTGTAGGGCCATATTTTTTGCAGGACACCCTGTGTTGTAGATCCATTTTTCAAGACACCCTGTGTTGTAGGCCATTTTTTAGGACACCCTGTGTTGTAGGGCCATTTTCAGGACACCCTTTGTTGTAGGGCCATTTTTCAGGACACCCTGTGGTGTAGGACTCTCTCTGTTCCNTTTCAGGACACCCTGTGTTGTAGGGCCATTTTTCAGGACACTCTGTTCGGAAGGATTTAAAAAAGGTATTCTATCCTTCCTTATCCCTGATGCTAAAGTTATATTTTCAGTAGTTACACATGGTAGACCTTTACTTAAAGGGAGTGTTCGCAAAAATGAAAGGGGGTATTGGCTGATTCCGAAATGAATTCGATTTTTATCACTATTATTTTACTTCTATCAGTTGCTAATTTAACGCGAAAATGGTTAATAACGCCTTATACCCAGGATAATAGACGGAGTTGCATTATTCAAACCAACCCGTAAATAATTCAGTTCAATTTAAAACTGAACATTCAGATGCATAATATCGAATTCAATTTGGAGCATTTATATAATTCATATGTAGTTGAAATATCTTAATTTCAATCCTGTCGGCCTACTATTCAGCCTGCAAAAAAGAAGAACATACCGCACCACCTAGAAACAACACATATCTCATTAGCAGTAGGTGTGATGTCATTCAGTCCTCTTAACTATAAAAAGGATCATATAGTCTTGATGTAAATTTCAATCAATAGACTGACACATTCAAATCTCAAAATCAGAAAGACAATATCCAAAATGAAATAAAACTGTAGTCCTAAAAAGACCATTTTCGTACAGATTTTATACTTCTGTGGGGGTCTCTAGCGGTAGTATTATGCACTACAAAAGAAAAATGTTCAAGTATGCTCAGAAAACCGGTTTTAAATTAAATTTCGTGGATTTTATTAAAATAATTCGTTCTTTCGTAAAGAAATTGAATCACATTAGTTTTGAAATATTGCATAAGATATAGATTATTGTATGAATTAAAAATTAATATAAAGGGGTTGATGGATTAAAATAAAAAAAATGTTTAACACATTTTATAACAATTTTTAACTTGTTTTATACCATGATATACCCCGCAAACCACCGACCTAAACCGATCCTTAAATCTAGGTTGTTTTAGCTCTGAATTAGGTCGAGCTAGGTCGGATGACCTTAACCAACCTTAACCGACCTTAGGCGACGTTGATTAAGGTCATTTTAGGTCGAGCTAGGTCGGATGACCTTAACCGACTTTAAACGACCTTAATCTATAAGGTCATTTTTGGTCAGGTTAAGTCATTTTAGGTCGCATCATTTTGCAAGGTCATTCTTAAGTAAATTTAAGTTATATGAGGTCGGGACCAGAATGACATTTTAAACTATTATTTCAAATTTGAGGTTTATTAAAAAGAGAATTTCTCTTCTCAAAATTGATAAAAATATTGTTTCCGTTAATTTAACTAAA